TTTTATGATCTCAAAGATAAAAGTTAATTGTTTTCACTCACTGTTTATCTATAGAGGAATCATATTATGAATCACATACCTAGTAGCATAATGTTAGAGAATTTGGTATGAGTACCAGATGTACCACATGTGAACACACTTATTATAGAGATTGAGAATAATATATGAATTCCCTATTGATGCGTTAGCATCATCTACTACACAGATTCTTGCATCGGTACATTGATGTAGTGGGAGGATTATCATCCAATTCGACAGAATCATGTTTTTAGGTGAGACCATAATGGACATCCCTGTTAAACATGAGTTGGACCCGGTAAGCTATACGGAAGCGTGAACCGATGTGGATACAGATCGTTTTGGTGAGTTACTATGAAATCAGAGTTGGAATCTATGTATTCTAATAAATTCTGGGATCTTGTAGAACTTTCTAGTAGGGTGATTCCTATGGAAGGCAAGTTAATCTACAAAAAGATACCAGAAGATTTCTTAGTGAATAAATCATGAGTGTACAAGGGAATGTCATTATTTTTCTTAATTCTATATATTGATAACATCCTACTCATTTATAATGAGGTGGAAGTTTTGTCATCAATTAAAAGGTAGTTGTTCAATTACTTTTAAATGAAGGATTTTCAAGATGTAAGCTATATTCCTAGGATCAAGCTTTTGCAAGATCAGGTTAAAAGGAAAATAGGCTTATCTTAATAATCCTACATTGATAAAGTTTTGACCAGGTTTGGTATGCATAACTCAAAGAATGAGTTCTTGCTTTATTGATATGGATCGCTCTCTTTAGTAAGTAGTTTTTTCAAGACTAGCAGAGGAGATTGAGCAAATGAGACTGGAACAATATGTTTCGGCATATGAGAGTCTCATATATGCCATGGTCTATACCAAACAGGACATCCGCTACATAGTAGGGATAGTCAGTAGAGATCAGTCCAATACTGGACTTGACAACTGGTCTATTGTAAAAAATATCATTAAGTACCTAAGGAGAATCAATGATATCATACTCATTTATGGATGTGATGATATGGTCCTAGTCAGGTATGCTAGTTCTGATTTTCAATCAGAAGTAGATACTATGAGGTTCATGACTTAGTGTATGTTCACTTAATGGAAGGGAAATCAGTTGGTAGATTGTCAAGCAGATTTCAACTGTTGACTTAAACCTGCAGGTGGAATATATTGCAGCCTTAAAGGTGGCAATATAAGCCTATTGGTTTGATCTCACTGATTTAGAGGTTGTGGAGCATACTAGCCTGCCTATCGAGCTATATTGCGACAATAGTGCAGAAGTAGTCCAAACCAATGACCCAAGGTTCCATAGATGAACAAAATACACTGATAGGAAGTATCATGTTCTACATGATATTATCCGGCAAGAAAATGTACTTGTAGCTAGAACATTGCATTGGAACACAACTTTGTTGATCCATTATCAAAGGTGTCATTGATCAATAATTTTGATCATCATCTGGATAACATTGGAGTTAGGTGCAATTTGAATTGGCTATGAGGGCAAGTGGGAGCTGTTGGGATTTAAATGCCCTGGCATAGCAAATTCCTGTTTGGATTAATTGACATATGTTCCTGACGTTTCTGAAATATTTATGTTTTATACAATTGGTGAATTCAATGTATTATATTTCGATTCACTATGAAATTGATAGTGTCCATGTAATTACAAGAAATATTTATGTATATGTATGTGATGGCAATCAATGCATGATATATAAATAGTAATTATAAATTGTTCATAGTCGGTAATTATGGATGGACTCATAATTAATTAAGACTTGAACTGGATCCGCGTTAGGTTGAGATATATTGCGAAAGCCGTCGTATGCAATTACTCCCTATCACCGTCATGACATTTGACTCTTAAGCATGAGAAAAGTATAGACTCTTTTATTAATTAATAATTACTTTGATTTGTTCGGCGGATTCTTCGGGATCCTTATACCGACACTTCGGGTAGTTATGTAATTAATAGTTAGAGGGTTATATTTTCAATATTTGCATCATTGCTACTTGTATTTATTTTGTATTGATTATGGTTGATCACAAAGTAAATTCGAAGGCCTTCGTATGATTTTAGACAAAATGATTTATTATATATTTATTTATTAAATTATTATTTTTGTCGAACAAATGTTTTATTGTGATCGAGCCAGAAATAATCAAAGGTACCAAAATAAATATATTAATTAAGTAGTCGGATTGATGGCATTATTTATCCGATAACTAATTATGCATAGAGGGGTCAAAGTGCAACATTGTCTTAGATGTTATTTATTATTTGATTGGAGTTCAATTAATTTCTTTTAGTGGAGTAGAAATTAATTTATGAATTAATTTAATTGGGTCCATGGACCGGGCCAATCATTAATTCATTGTAGCCAATAAAGTAATAGGCCCAATGGATTCTCACTCATAGCCCAACTTGATATTGGAATCATATTAGATTTGAGACATGTGAATTAGAGATTGAGAAGGATTAGTTGTTTCCTTTTCTTTACCTTTATGTTGCCTATAAATATACATGGTCTATGTATATTTTAGGGGTGATTTTGATGAGAAGAAAAAAAAGGAATAAATTTTCTCTCTCTAGAAAATTAGGGTTTATGTTCTCATCTAATAGAGGCTCCCACAAGCCTAGTTTTCCAAGGTAATTCATGGAGGCTTATGAGTGATTTCTAAAGGCAAAATAATTACCAAGAAGATGGAGATCCAAGGAGAAGGCATCTTGTTAAGGGATCTACAATAAGTGAGAACATTCACTTTACAGGAAAGTTTTAAAGGTTTACTCAGACCTTTGATGTAAGTATTCAATCCATTAATTGAATGATACATCATATTTTTATTTTTGCATAAAACTTGTCTCTATGTAATGAATCAAGATTTATGAATTTAAATCCCTCGAAAAGTTTTTTTAAAACTAGCACGTTTCCGAACAAAAACAACTCTTTTACACTACAGATAATCACCAAAATGAACAAAACCATCTACACATATGATATGAATGTTGCTTTTCGCAATTTGTTCAGTGAACCAGTCAACCTTTAGTTACTAACTTCATCTTTTCCTTCTCTTCTGTGCTGCTGCTTCATCACCATCATTCATAGGATTAGAATAAAATCAAAATGTGAGTCTTCACTCCTTAATCTATACACCATTCGCATTTGAATCATTAATTAGGACGAAGAGAGTATAAACATTACCGAAACAAAACAATGCTGATGATCAAATTGCAATTACTTGAGAAAATTGCTAAACAACTTTATTATACTACATTAGTTCAGATAATCACCAAACCAAAATGAACAAAATCATCTTGCATAATATGTATGATCTTTGAATTTGATAACTATGTTTCGACTTTGTTATAGTACTACATGAATGCGGCTTTAGTTACTAACTTCAACTCCTCCTGTGCTTCTTCTTCTTCTTCTTCTTCTTCTTCATAATCATCTTTTATAGGATAAGAATAACAAGGAGGGTCTGCTGCATCATTCATGATCCGATGATGTCAAAGCAGCAGAGCCATAAGTCTCTTGGATCGAAGTCAACATGGCCATTATCATCTTGGTTGCTATTAGGTCAGTGCATCTGTTCAAATCATCCTGATGCCACAACATAAAAAATCAGGCAAATTAGTCAAACATGGATGCAAGATAAACTAGCTAAAAAAATTATTTGATTAATCTGAATTTCTGTTTTTCATTACTCTGTTAACAAATGGAGCAAAAGCCTAGGTCAAAGCATGGTCCTGATGATACGGATTCAGCTACAAGAGCCGAAGCTGCAATTATGGATGGCTTGAATTGCGTAAATTCGATACCTGTGATTAAAACAATGATTTTGAAAAATAATCATTTATATAACACTAAATAAGTAAGAAAAAGAAAAAAAAATCTGGTTACCAGTTTACATTTTCCTCACAGAGTACCTGCTCAAAATTTGGAGAGAACAAGAAACAATCTCCATTATAAGAAAATCAAAGAATCAGTAGTTTCTGGCTCAAGAGTGTGTTTGTCTCACTAGTTTGAGTATGAAGTCCATCGTTTGCTTTCTCCCAAAGACAGCGGTGGGGTTCTGGTGGTAGTTCTCAGAGGCCATGAACTCTGCTTCAGCTGCCAAGAGACTCTGAAAGGTCTCGAGCTCAGATTCGTTATGGTCATCCATTTCCCTTCTTGTTTGTTTTCAGTCTGTAATTATGCTTTCTGAGAGAAGGATAGTGGTTGTTTAGAGAGAGAGAGAGTCCGAGTTTGGCACGCTTAAGAGGAAGGTTGGTTTTAGTCGAGTCTTTCTGAGGCGGCTATTTTGATAGTTGTTACTGTTACAAGCATCTGAGAGGGAAAGTCCTTTGTACCGGATGGGACCGAGTATAGAAGCTCTACCTTTGTTTTTGTTATTGAGTTTCTTTTGGTCTTATATAGAATGGTGGAGGTGGGAATTTCAATGTTTATCCTGGGTATACCCCTAAGAGGGTGCGTCTAGACGCAACAGTAAAGTTACTCTATTGTAATCTAGAGATCGTTCAAAACCAAAAAAGTCTCTCTATTCGAATGTAAGATTGGATCCCGGGTTTACTTAAATGTATATACACACACACAAAAGGTGAAAAAAGAAAAAGAAAAAATCCCATTTGGAAGTTATTTGTAATTGTAAGAATCTAAGCAAAAATCAACAATGATTTCAGCATTCAAAGAGCATCAGCTCTTTATTGAATCAGTTTCACCACCCTGTCAAGTCTTATTCCATTCTCAACTCTCAAGCCAAAGTTTCCTCAAACAAAGTCCTAAATTCAGTATATCAATATCCCATAGAACATTTGATTCCGTAGTCTTCTTCTTCATATATATACTGCTGAATAGAAACTAAGAATCTGCATAAATGGCTAAAGTTCATGTCCCTAAATTATATATTTGTGTTCGTGCTGTTTGCATTTATGTTTGCACCAGAAGTCTTTTTTCCAGAATAAAATCAAATTATCAATATGTGAATCTTCACTCCACAATCATTACAACAAAAGATTCGACAAGAAAAGCAAAATAAGCTTCAACATACATAGGAAATAAATTCTTTCCACGCAAAAACACAGCTTAATTTCCAACTCAAAACACCTGCAAAGATTAGAGAAAACTACATCCGTTACATAGTCAACGGAAATAGGCCGGCATCATTAACTGCTTTTTATACCTTCTACTTGCCTACAATTAGTTTGGCTCGTGCATGTCCAGCTTCTATCCTGAACTGTTCTCCCAAGCCAAGATGTGCCATCAGCAACCAAACGAAAGTAATAAGCTCACCACCTTTGCTGAGCTGCTGAGCATGGGTGTTTGCTCTGCAATGACTTGCAGCATAGGACAACAATTCCACCCACACTTTGCTCATTATCATCCACCTCTTTTTCTTCATTTCGTTCAGATCTTTCGCGAGCATACATGCATCAAACAACAGTGATTTGCTTCTATCCCCCTTCACTTCAACAGGTTTGACAACTGTATTTACAGAAAGTAGATTATCACAGACTTTTGTTCGTTCTTCATTTGGTTCTGATCGTTTTCCTTTAAAACGATTCATCAATTTCTGCACAATACGCTCCCATGCCGATTTTGACTCCACCCTGCGGAAGAATTTTCTGGCTTCCGCACAGGTGTACCGGAACCTGATTTGCCCAATACCTGCCACTGCTGACATCATTGTATGCCGCATGACCAAAAGATACAACATATATTCTGACAAGAGTTTACAAAATTCGCGATTTGGATCACGATCATCATTGGAGTGATTTTGGTTATTGTGATCAGGTGTTTTGAAGTAGCACAGTTCAGTAGCAATATGCCATAACAAAAGGCTTTCATCATATTCAACCTCCTCGCTCACGCTTGATACAATGGATGCGTGGTAGCAACTGTTCTGTGAGAGAACCCAATCACCTCTCGCTGAAAATATCTTCTTTGCAGTTTTTGAATCCTTCGCTCTCAGAGCCTTCGCCCTCAACTCATCAAAAATAAATTTCTTTAGATTCTCCTTAACAAGTTTGGTTTCCTTGTATTGCATTTCATCAAAAAATTCCTTGAGCCCGAAAAAATCAGTTGCTTTGTCGAGCCACTTGAACCGTTCCTTCATACAGTATCTTATCAAGCTGTGCTGTGAGACAGATTTAGATCACCGGCATCTATTGTCAAATGAAACTCTCTCACGGATGGCAGAAACAGTAGAATTGGCCTTGGAATTCTTGAGTTTCACTATAGTCCAGTCACAGAAAATGAGCTTGAAGAGAGCCAGTAAGTCCAAGCCAACAGCACCAATAAGCAAAGTGTAGGTAACAGCAACATCAGTTCTATGGATTTCGTGGTCTTTATGAATGGATGCAAATTGTATGAAGGATGCCGCTATCAGAACAGAACATATGATGCGGAAAAAGTATCCGACCTTACGATGCACCATTGCCATCTTAGTGTAGAGCACATCATAAATCAAATTGAGCTCAACTTCCATCACTTTAAAAGCATCTTCATAATGCCTTTGAAAGAAGAGTTTTCGACTCTCATTGCGTTCATGGAAGCTAAACATGAGGTCAACAATAAGTCCCTTGAAAATTTTAAAGAAATCGTGCCCATGTTTCACCACCTCAATATCTGTAAGTTTTGGTTTTGGATCTTGAGGTAATTCTTCCTCTTCCGGTATATTAGTTCTGAAACCTTTTTCAGGTTCCTTTACTATTTCAATTTCAACTGGAACTTGGGCAGCTTCCTTAGATGAGTATTCCTCCATGAGCTGAGCATAATTTGGTCCAGCATCTGGTTTTGGAAGCATGTTGTCCTTGAAATTACCCAAGCATGCTAGATATAGAGCACGGGTCCACTCAGCATACTTAATAGTTCCAGCAATCACCAGGAGGACAGTTGGAATATAGAATTGGTTAGGGATCGATTGTGGGAAACATAAAGAACTGCAACAAGCTGGATGACAAGCCAAAGCAAATGTCGAATCCACAGCTCATTATCTTCGAGAGAGAAAGCAGTGATGGTATCAGGGCCACCAAGGTGTAGCAAAAGGAATGGAGCCCAAAAAGCTGCAAGGTCATCATTTACCCTAACCTTCTCACAGTCATCCCCTTGCCCATTGGAGATGAGTCCAACAGCAAAGGCCGCAACCCAATCAGCAAGCAAATAAGCCGACCAGATCATCATGGTTACAATTCTATGTCCAGTTCGTTTCCGTGATGTTGCAGAGAAAATTAACACTACCTGGAAGAAGAGACTGACAAGAACAGCACCACGGAGATTCCATTAATCCCATACCCTCTTGACCCCGTGTGGAATGGGGAAAGCCATTTTACCACTAATTTTTTGATATCTTTCTTAATTTGCACCGTGCAGCTGCTCCTGATTAGTTTGTGAGAGACAAATTGCAACATAGTATCAACAGTCTAAATGAAGGACCCAATATCTAATTAAGTACAACTAAAAGGCAAATCTTGATTGGATAAAAAAAATAGGAGTAAAATGCTGCAGTTTAGATTAGAGCAACACAATTCATTGTCAACCATGAAGTGCAAATTGAAAAAGTTTTGTTCAATCCAAAGAACAGTAGAAATAAATGAAAGGAACTAATGAAAATCAAAATGGCAATCTACTTCCGGTGCTCCATTTTTTCTTGAATTACTCCAACCTGGACAATGAAATTGCACCTCCTAATGTTATCTAAGAATCTCAATGGGGCAATTCCATAACCCCATAAACCCTAAATGACCTTCAAAATCACCCTAAACGAAACTGGCATTTTTTTCTTTCTTTCTCTTAACTGAAAGTGCTGTTGTTTCTCCATGGGACCAAAACCATTTTGCAACAAATTAATCAGTAACAAGATAAGGTAGCTTAAGAAACAGGATAGTGCTTTGTGGATGTCCTGCATTCACTTTGCAAATAAATCGAAGTAATATTTTTGGTCTCAGAAGCAAATCAGTAGCAGTGCAATTTTTCAGTAGTTGCATCACTGCTTGATCATGAGACATACAATCACTGTCACTGTTCCCCTCAGGCACTTGGATAGTATTAGATTTATATTTTATCATTTTAATCCCTTTAGACAGTATAGTAATTTAAGTAACACAAGATTGTAATAAGGAAAAAAAAAACTAAAATTCAGGATAAATCATTGATAAATCCAAATTTGTTGGAAGAACTTGTTCATGTTATGTTAATTACCTAAAATTAAATAAATAAATTGTTAAAGTTTACCAACAGGCCATTAGCACAAAGGGTTAGCCTCTCCTCCCTCAAAGAGGCGGTGAGGGGTTTGAGCCCAGTAATGGTCAATTTGTGAAGTGTGTGTACCCTATAAAAAATAAAAATAAAAATAAAAAGTTCAAGTTTTCTTAGTTAAAGAGTGAGTCAGATTACCCAGAATTGATGCACCCACGACCACTGGCCAACACAATGACAGATCAGAGTTACTAAATTAAGATGAAATAAAGCTAGTTTTTCAAGCATTTCTTTGAAATGTACTGACAATACAAGAATGCATACCCAATTTAGTGTACGAATATTCACAAGGCGAAGATAGTGAAATTACCTGTGTTTTTTTCTTCCTCCTGCTCTCCTACTTTTGCTTCTTGATGTAAGTTTGTGTGTGTGTGTGTGTGTGTGTGTGTGTGTGTGTGTATTCCTTTATCTAATGAGGTTTTAGATGAACAAAAGAAGGGGCTCAGAAACTGATACCTACCTTCACATTGCTCAAAGTCTTCGTCAAGTCAATATTCTCTCTCCTTTTTTTCTTTTTTTTCTTTTTTATGTTGTTGTCGCATCAAGTCGTTAAGAAATTCGTAATACTAATTTGGATATATATCTTTTATTATTATTATATTATTATCTTGTATATTTCCTTTTCGCTTTTCACGCGCTTCATGGTAGACTAACCTTTACGCGTGGGGTACGAGGTAGGCAGCAATCCAATGATCTCAACCTCACTGGAACGTCGGTTGGTAACGGGTATGCATTTGTATTGTCAGTACATTTCATATGTTACAGTAATTATCACATGAAGGGAAAAAAAAATCATCAGATTAATTTGATCATTTTTCATATTAATATTTTGTAGCATTTACATATTAGATCCGAATTGAGCATGTTTTGGATTGATTAAAAGAAAAAGTCTATAATAAGTTTTCAAGGTAAGTAACCAGAGTTCTTGATAACCATCACATGTCTTCAAACTAAAAATTATTGTTTTATTAATGAGCTTGAAAGTAATATATTGATACTTTCTTAAGTCGCATAAGCGGGCACAAGAGGTTCGCAAAAATGATAAAATTCAAATCACATAATGAAATTATTTGGAAGAGCATTAGCAAGAATAGCAAAGACATCCGTTTAGAAGAATTATGTGACTTAGGTATTCTTTTGCTCTTCAAAGTGGAAGTTTTAAAATTTTATGTTCAAGTCTATATAGGAGCAAAGCAGGGGCGAAACCCCTAATGGGCTAACTTGGACTATAGTCCAGGTCCAAAAAATAAAAAGTAATAATTAAAAATTAGTACTACTATTTTCTATTAACCATAATCCAGCCCAAACTGTCCAACCCATAATAAAACATAAATTATAAATGGTTCAAAAAAGCTTATAAACAAATTAGAACTAGAAGATTGAAGAAGACCTAGGGACTATTTGGCATGATATGGTATTGTTTTTGATATTTTCATCTTCTCTACTTGAAAATTTTTTTTCCCAGTAAATTGTTTACTTGAATTCTTTCTTTAGCCCCCTATTTTAAAATCCTGGCTCCACCCTGAGCAAAGTGGGTTGTAAATCTGAGAGTACATAATTGTGTAAAGACAAAGACGTGATCAATACAAAACCTTGTATCCATACAGTTCTTCTTCTTCAAATTTATCACAAACTGAGTTGCAGCATAGGACAACAATTCCACCCACACTTTGCTCATTATCTCCCACCTCTTCTTATGCTCCAATGCCGATGCCGACAAGAAACGGGACTTAAGTCTTGATTGCCCACTACTGCCTCAGAAGAACTTCTTCTTGGCTTCCTCGCAGGTGTCCCGGAACCTGATTTGCCAAATATCTTTCAGGACCATCATTGGGGCGACTTTGGTCATTGTGATCAGGGTCTGTGAAATAGCACAGTTCAGTAGCAATATGCGACAACAGAAGGCTTTGGTCATATATAGTCAACCTAGCTCTTTGCTCACGCTTGATACAATTGAGGTGTCGTGGCAACTGTTATCCGATAGAATCCAATCACCTCTGGCCGAAAATATCTGCTTTTCAGTTTCTTAATCCTTCACCCTCAGCTAGCTCACTGAAAATGAATTCTGTTAGATTATCCTCAACAGGTTTGGTTTGCTTGTATTGCATTTCATCGAGAAAAGTGAGTCCGAAAAAATCAGTTAACTTGCTTTGTTGAGCCACTTGAACCGTTCCTGCATGCAGTATCTTATCAAGCTATACTGAGAGAGATTTAGACCACCTGCATCTATTGTCAAATGAAACTCTCTCACGGATGGCAGAAACTGTAGATTTGGACTTGGAATTGCTGAGTAGTCCAAGCCAACCGCACCAATAAGCAAAGCGTAGGTAACAACAACATCAGTTCTATGGATTTGGTGCTTTTGTACCAAGGATGCCACTAGCAGAACAGAACATATGAGGATCTTACAATGCACCACTACCATCTCGGTGTAGGTGGACTATGGAGCACATCATACATGAAATTGAGCTCCACTTGTATCACTCTAAAAGCTTTTTTATAAGAAATTTCGATTCTTATTGCGATCATGGAAGCTAAGCATGAGGTCAACCAAAAGTCAAAGAGCCTGTACCCATGATTCACTACCTCAGTATCTGTAAGTGTTATTGCATCTCGAGTTAATCCTTCCTCTTCCACTATACATATCAGTTATGTGAGAAACAAATTCAACTGGAACTTGGGCAGCTTTCTTTGATCCATCTGTATACCCACACGAGCATATCATATCATAGCTTGGTCCAGCTTCTGGTTGTGTGATTCTCCTTGCAGTCATGATTCTTTTTATCACAGCACAGCATCAACCATCTGAACATTTCCATGGACAGCAAAGCAATTTCGTCTAGAATTGTCATGATTCATGTGAATTATTGACATGGCATTCAAAACTTATAGACGGCCGTGACTTGCTCTATTATAGATGGTCCATGTGAATTATTGATTGCTAAGTTTTGGAAATGGTGACATTTTTTTTCATATTTTCTTGTGGACTTCCTCTCCATATTTTCAAATTTGTCTGTTATGTGTAAATGAAACTTTTATTTTTTTTAGTTAAAAATGTGTAAATGAAACTTGATTGTGCTAACATTTGAAAAAATTCAAAGTAGAGCATCAACCATCTATCTAAAGGTTTCTATTGACAGCAAAACAAATTTAGTTTCCCTCTAACTGCGTCTAGAATTGTTATGAAAATGAAGTGAGCAGAGGATGATCAAGCTTTGAAGAAAATGTAACGACCCTAGCTGATGTCAAGAATTTTACAAAAAATTCGGCATAACCTCCACTAAAAATAAACCTATCACAACCTGTTTAATTGCATTTTTAACCTGTCATGGCTCAAATTCCGAATTCACGGCAATAGTAGATGATGATACACAATCAAATGACCTCAATAATACTTCAAACTAGTATTACTCTCCCCATTCATCAATAAGGTTTACATGTTATCAAATTCACATCCAAAATATAATCAAATACCTTAATTACATTACATGACAAAGTTTTTGCAAAATATACATATACACCTTCACACTTTTAGTGCTTTGCAAAAATAATGGAAGATATACAAAAAACACAAAAGTGAGCTTCTAGTATCGCTCAAGCTTGAGGTGGGTTGTCGTCCACCGGTTCTTTTCCAAGACCTGAAAAAAATGTATAAATAATAGGGTGAGCTATATGCTCAGTAGGTGACACTTAAGACACAAATCTTGTGTCCTTGTGAATTCAAGCAAAGTATAGGCCAATGGGAGATAGGGATCATACAACGTAGGGGATCAAATATAACATACAAGTCAATTCCAAGTATAAACAATGCAATGCAATGAAATGAAATGCAATGCATGTCAATGACACTCCCCATTTTCATTCTCAAAACCATCACTTTCAAACGTTAATACAGCCCGCCCTTTGGTAACCCCGCCGCGACACGAGAGGAGGATTGGCTAGTGTACCTGACCCTTGGTAACCCCGCGGCGTCATTATGGGGCCCAACTAGCTTAACCACACTAGGGCGACTCCCTAGTCCCCTCTAGGCTATATTAACCTCCGGCCCGTTGGTAACCCTGCAGCGACCGGGTTTATCAAAACCATTTCACAAAAACTATCATCTCCCAAAAATTCCTCATTTTCATTTCAAGACAAATTCTCCCATTTCATGCATCCCAATGACATGTCCAAGAATGTACATATAATCTCAATATCATGACAATGTGAAATTTTGGCACAATACAATTAAGAATGGTCTCATACATCACTTTCAGCAAGTTTACACATGGTGGACATAAACTCAACACATAGGCAAGCTTTTCACATAATACATCACATGTGCATAAACATACATTTCTCTAGACAACATTAAAATAATCATTAACACAATTAATCCCCAAGTAAAGCATGTTAGCACATAAAAGAGGTGTAATTCAAAAAAAACACCACAAAGCCATCATCTATACATGCTTTTCACATAGACAAGTCATAACCCTAAGACATGAATTTTTTCTAAACATCACTTACACCTCATTGAAGCAATTAATTCTCAAATTTAGCATGTCTAGCACAGCAAAAGAGCATAACTCACAATGGAACAAGAAGGGAGTGGATTAAGATGCCCCTACCTCAAGATTGCACCAAAACCCTAGAAAATGGGTCCTCAAATTCGAGCTCCAAGGAAGGTAGCAAAACTGGAATTGCTGGTACTAGAACGTAGAGCTCGTCACACTCGTCGTTTTGCCTCAAACGGCACCTAAATCCGGCAAGGATTGAGAGAGTAATCAAGGGTTAAAGCTTGAAGTGAAAAAAAAAAAAAAAAAAGGAAAAGAGAAAGAGCTGAGAGCAGCAGTCGGGAGAAAGAGAGAGAAAAAGAACAGAGACTAACTTGGTCTCTTAATTCATTTAAAAGGGACGTGGGTCCCACCTCTCTTTTTCTAATTTCTTTTTCTCTTTTTTTTTTTTTTTTTTTTTTTTTTCTTTTAATACACACCGCACACACAGGCATATATATATATAAAGGCACAAACATTACACTCTCCCCTACTTTAAAAGATTTCGTCCCCGAAATCAAGACATACCTGAGGAAGAAAACAACTCTGGATACTTGGAGCGAACCTCCTGTTCAAGCTCCCAAGTAGCTTCCTCGACTCCGTGGTGTCTCCAAAGGACTTTCACCATTGGTATCGTCTTGTTCCTCAACACCCTCTACTGAGTGTCAATGATCTGAACTGGTCCTTCCTCGTAGGAAACATCCTCATCAATATCCACATCTACCCAACTCAAAATGTGAGATGGATCCGGTTCGTACTTCCGTAACATCGATACATGGAAAATATTGTGGACCCTATCCAACTGTGGTGGCAAAGCAAGCCTGTAGGCAACCTCTCCTACTCGGTCCAAAATCTCAAACGGTCCAATAAATTGTGGCGACAACTTGCCACTTTTCCCGAATCTCATCAATCCCTTCCGTGGAGAAACCCGTAGAAAAACGTGGTCTCCCACCTCAAAGGATAACGGTCGTCTCCGCTTAGCCGCATAGCTTTTCTGACGGCTCTGAGCTGTAAGTAACCTCTGTCTTATCAACTTAATCTTTTCAGTAGTCTCGAGTACAATATTGGGTCCTAAGGCGGCTGTCTCACCTACCTCAGTCCAACAAACAGGAGACCTACAAGGTCTACCATACAACGCCTCAAATGGAGCCATCTGGATGCTCGCCTGATAACTGTTGTTGTAGGCAAACTCAATAAGTGGAAGGTGATCCTCCCAACTACCTCCCAAATCAAGCACACATGCCCGAAGCATGTCCTCCAAAATTTGGATAGTACGCTCCGACTGATCGTCTGTCTGTGGATGGAATGCCGTACTAAGATGCAACGTTGAACCAAACGCTGCTTGAAGTCCTTCCCAGAACTTCGAAGTGAACTTAGCATCCCTATCTGAAACAATGGTTACTGGAACTCCATGCAACCTTACAATCTCCTTCACATAAAGAACACCAAGTTTCTCTGCATCATCTGTTGCCTTAATAGGCAAAAAGTGAGCCGTCTTGGTCAATCTGTCAATGATGGCCCATACGGCCTCATTGCCCCTCCTTGACCTTAGAAAACCTGTCACAAAATCCATAGCAATATGGTCCCATTTCCATTGGGTAATGGTTGCAACAAACCTGCTGGCCTCTGATGCTCGGCCTTCACCTGCTCACAGGTAAGGCATCTAGCCACAAACTGTGCAACATCATTCTTCATCCCGCTCCACCAATACTGACGTCTCAAATTGTGATACATTTTAGTACCACCTAGATGAACTGTAAAACGGGAAGTGTGAAACTCCCGTAGGACATCCTCACGACATACTGTGGGAACCACCAACAAACCCCTGAACCGCAGACCCCCATCTGCATGCAAGGCCCAATCTTTCACTGTCTCACCACTAGAGATCAAAGCGTGGATGGCATCTAAGTCCGGGTCCTGTCTCTGTGACTCAATCACTCCTACAACAAGAGTAGGCTGAGCCACAAGACTAAATAAGAATGCCGACTCACTGTAACCATCATCATCAAAACACTGTAATCCCATCTCTGCCAGATCTTTAAGCATCTTCCATTTCCGAATAGCTAAACTGGCCAAAGTTCCACGAGATTTTAGGCTTAAGGCATCAGCTACAACATTTGCCTTGCCCGGATGATACTGCAAATCAAAGTTGTAATCTTCCAAGTACTCAACCCATCGTCTCTATTTGTTGTTCAAGTCCTTTTGGGAAAAAAGGTACTTGAGACTTTTATGACCCGAGTATACCTCGAATCTCTCACCATACAAATAATGTCTCCAACACTTCAAGGCAAACACAACTGCCGCTAACTCCAGATCATGAGTAGGGTAGTTAAGCTAGTGAGTCTTCAACTGTCGAGACCCATAAGCCACTACTCTACCATCCTGCATCAACACACATCCCAACCCGTCACGTGAAGTATCACAATAGATCATATAACCCAAGCCTCGCTCAGGTATCACCAACACTGGAGCTGTAGTCAATCTCGTCTTCAACTCCTGAAAAGATGAATCACAGGCCTCATTCCAGACAAACTTGACCCCTTTCCAGGTCAAACGGGTCATAGGAGCTGCCAAACGGGAGAAATCCTTCACAAATCTCCGATAGTAACCCGCTAAACCAAGAAAACTGCGGATCTCAAACACATTCTTGGGTCGCTCCCAAGTCAAAACTACTTCAACCTTTGATGGATCAACTGATACTCCACCTTCTGAAACAACATGCCCCAAAAACTTCACCTCTTGTAGCCAAAACTCACATTTCTCGTATTTGGCATACAATCGGTGTTCCCGCAAAATCTGTAAAACAATACTCAAATGGACCTCGTGATCTTCCCGAGTCCGTGAGTACACAAGAATGTCATCCACGAAAACTACCACAAACTGGTCCAAGTAATCGTGAAAGACGCGGTTCATCAAGTCCATGAATGCCGCTGGCGCATTAGTCAAGCCAAAAGGCATAACAAGGAACTCATAGTGTCCATACCGTGTACGGAATGCTGTCTTCGGGATATCCTCATCCCTAACCCGCAACTGATAATAGCCAGACCTCAAGTCAATCTTCGAGAAACAACTGGCTCCCCTCAACTGATCAAATAAATCATCTATCCTTGGCAAATGATATTTTTTCTTGATGGTGGCATGATTCAACTTCCGATAATCAATGCACAACCTCAACGAACCATATTTCTTCTTAGCAAACAAGACCGGTGCGCCCCACGGTGACACACTCGGTCGGATGAAACCTTTCATCCTCAAATCATCAAGTTGCCTCTTCAATTCTTCCAATTCAACTGGTGCCATACGATACGGTGCCATAGAAATCGGCGCAGTACCATGCATCAAATCAATAGTGAACTCCACTTCTCGGTGTGGAGGCAACTCTGTCAAATCCTCTGGAAAAACATCCAAGAAGTCACAAACAATTGCCGGATAAACTTCTCCTACGACATCATCTTCTTCAGCTAAAAGGCTAGCTAAGAAATAATCACCATGACTTCGTCCACGAACTCCATAAAACGATGAAATGTGGGAATCACTCCGATCTCCCACGAAAAAGAAACAGTCTCCCTCAGGAGTGCAAACTGTAATTCTCCCTTTGAAACAATTGATCGTGGCATGAAAGAAGGCCAACCAATCCATCCCAAGAATGACATCAAAGCTAGTCATCTCCAGGAGGATAAGGTCAAACACAAAGGTCCGCCCGGCTATCACAATGGAGCAATCCCACACAACTCGGCTCAATGACACTGAAACCCCAACTGGCGTATCAACACATAACGCCCGATCCATGAAACTAACCTCCAACCCCGATGCAAGTGCAAATGATGATGAAATGAAAGAATGAGATACACTAGAGTCAAACAAAACACGGACCCAACAACCAAACACTGGAAATATACCTCGAAGAACTGACGGTCCAGAAGATGCATCGGTCTGTGCCAATGCAAAAACACGTCCCTGTGGTACCTGTGCCTGAGGACTGCCAACCTGAACACCTGACTGCTGCACTGACATAGTAAGAGTATCCCTCCTAACTGATCGTGAACCCTGTGAAGACATAGTAGGCTGTGGTGGTGGTGGTGGTCTGAAACCTGACTGAACTGTAGCCGATTGTGACGGCCTCTGCTGTGACCCTCTACCACTAATGGTACCTGCTCTCTGACTCGGACAATCACGAATCAAGTGACCCTGCTGGCCACACCCATAACAAGCCTTCGGAGCTGACGAAACTGAAAACGATCTCATCGGACAACTAGACTTGTAATGTCCGGGCTACTGACACTGATAACAAACAACTGCACTCCTGTCAGATCCAGCTGGCATAGGAGTGGTAGGAGCAGATCTTGTAGACTGTTGCCCCTGAAACTGAGATGGACTGCCCATATTCCTTTTCCAAGAAGGTCCCTCTGAGGATAGCCCTGCACCCCTCTTTTGCTTCAATTGCTCTCTTCTTGCATCCTTCTCTCTATTGTCAGCCTCCAGCATCAAAGCCCTTTCCACTGCTTTAGAGTAAACCTTAATAAACTGTGCCGTGATCAACGGCCTCATTCGATCATTAAGACCCGAGACAAATTTCCGAGTCTTGTTAGCTTCATCTCTCACCACTTCTGGAGCAAAACGGGAGAGTGAGGTGAACTTGTTCTCATACTCCGCCACTGACATGTTCCCTTGAATAAGATTATGAAACTGGTCTTGTAACTCCCATCTTTTAGAAAGCGGAAAGTACTTTTCATAGAACAGTTCCTTGAACCTGTCCCAGCTCATCTCTTCAATCTTGTACTGGTTGGTGATCGACTTTTACCAAACCTTGGCATCCATAGCAAACTTGGAAGTTGCTAGGATGATCTTCAAGTGATCTTCTGTCACATCCATTGAGGTCAACTGAGTTTCGACTTGATCCATGTAGTTGTCGGCTACCATTGGATCCGCACTGCCCTCAAACATTACTGGCATCAACTGAGAAAACCCCTTAATGATCTTGAGACGCTTTTGAGTTGGAGTCTCCTCAACTCGAACTGTAGGTTGTGGTACCAACTGCGGCTGAGCAACAATAGTTTCTCTCATGGCATTTTGCAACAATCGATTCAACTCTAGTGCCACAGAACCTTCACCCACTTCTACGGGTGCGGGTGTTTCAACATTCTCTCTTCTTGGGGGAACAGCTCTTGGGGGAATCAAGTCCCTAAGAAGCATGTTCTCATCAACTGGCTCCGCCGGATTGGAGCTAGAGCTCTCACCAACATCGCCCCTTGTTGGCCTAGGGCCAACTTTTCTAGGTTCCTCACGCCGTGACATCGTGCTATAAAACGAGAAAACGATTCAGAAACATGACACTAAGGTCCACTGTGGACGACTCAATAAGAATTAATACCGTACAACACTTAGCATGCAAGACTATGCAAGAAACATTTTAACATAAACAAGTAAGCAAGTAAGCACATAGGCAATTAAGCATGCTCATTTAAATAAGATACCACGTAGCAAGTAGTCAAGTAAGCAACACAAACAACATTCCATGCGACTCTATGTAGGCCTCTACCCGTCGTCCTAAAGGTTTTCGAACCTTTGCTCTGATACCAAATTTTGTAACAACCCTAGCTGATGCCAAGAATTTTACAAAAAATTCGGCATAACCTCCCATAAAAATAGGCCTATCACAACCTGTTTAATTGCATTTTTAACCTGTCATGACTCAAATTCCGAATTCACGGCAATAGTAGATGATGATACACAATCAAATGACCTCAATAATACTTCAAACTAGTATTACTCTCCCCATTCATCAATAAGGTTTACATGTTATCAAATTCACATCCAAAATATCATCAAATACCTTAATTACATTACATGACAAAGTTTTTGCAAAATATACATATACACCTTCACACTTTTAGTGCTTTGCAAAAATAATGGGAGATATACAAAAGACACAAAAGTGAGCTTCTAGTATCGCTCAAGCTTGAGGTGGGTTGTCGTCCACCGGTTCTTTTCCAAGACCTGAAAAAAATGTATAAATAGTAGGGTGAGCTATATGCTCAGTAGGTGACACTTAAGACACAAATCTTGTGTCCTTGTGAATTCAAGCAAAGCATAGGCCAATGGGAGATAGGGATCATACAACGTAGGGGATCAAATACAACATACAAGTCAATTCCAAGTATAAACAATGCAATGCAATGAAATGAAATGCAATGCATGTCAATGACACTCACCATTTTCATTCTCAAAACCATCACTTTCAAACGTTAATACAGCCCACCCTTTGGTAACCCCGCCGCGACACGAGAGGAGGATTGGCTAGTGTCCCTGACCTTTGGTAACCCCGCGGCGTCATTATGGGGCCCAGCTAGCTCAACCACACTAGGGCGACTCCCTAGTCCCTTCTAGGCTATATTAACCTCCGGCCCGTTGGTAACCCCGCAGTGACCGGGTTTATCAAAACCATTTCACAAAAACTATCATCTCCCAAAAATTCCTCATTTTCATTTCAAGACAAATTCTCCCATTTCATGCATCCTAATGACATGTCCAAGAATGTACATATAATCTCAATATCATGACAATGTGAAATTTTGGCACAATACAATTAAGAATGGTCTCATACATCACTTTCAGCAAGTTTACACATGGTGGACATAAACTCAACACATAGGCAAGCTTTTCACATAATACATCACATGTGCATAAACATACATTTCTCTAGACAATATTAAAATAATCATTAACACAATTAATCCCCAAGTAAAGCATGTTAGCACATAAAAGAGGTGTAATTCACAAAAAACACCACAAAGCCATCATCTATACATGCTTTTCACATAGACAAGTCATAACCCTAAGACATGAATTTTTTCTAAATATCACTTACACCTCATTGAAGCAATTAATTCTCAAATTTAGCATGTCTAGCACAACAAAAGAGCATAACTCACAATGGAACAAGAAGGGAGTGGATTAAGATGCCCCTACCTCAAGATTGCACCAAAACCCTAGAAAATGGGTCCTCAAATTCGAGCTCCAAGGAAGGTAGCAAAACTAGAATTGCTGGTACTAGAACGTAGAGCTCGTCACACTCGTCGTTTTGCCTTAAACGGCACCTAAATCCGGCAAGGATTGAGAGAGTAATCAAGGGTTAAAGCTTGAAGTGAAAAAAAAAAAAAAAAAAAAAGGAAAAGAGAAGGAGCCGAGAGCGGCAGTCGGGAGAAAGAGAGAGAAAAAGAACAGAGACTAACTTGGTCTCTTAATTCATTTAAAAGGGACGTGGGTCCCACCTCTCTTTTTCTAATTTCTTTTTCTCTTTCTTTTTTTTTTTCTTTTAATACACACCGCACACACAAGCATATATATATATATATATATATATATATATGAAGGCACAAACATTACAGAAAAACACCGTTAACATCATTTTATTTATTTATTTAATGCTATATAAACATACCCGGATTTAAGTTGTTCAATGTTTGGTGGTTATTCCAATCCAATAACCATGTACTGTGGACCTTGAACACGCTCTTTAATCTGTCACATATTTTAAAGATGTGATATTCTTCAACATTTAAGCAAAAATTGTGTTGACATTGGATTAGCTAGAAAGTGGGTCAATATTTAAACGACATATAATGTCAAGAAGGAAAAGACTGTCATAGATTCAAAAGACATTGTAGGTAAAAACAGAAAGACTGTTGATAACTAAACATCTGAGCTAAATTTAATGGTTACCAAACACATCTAAACAGAATTTTTCAAAATAAAAGTGCTTTCAAATAGTAGAGAAACAATGCCAAACCGGCTCTTCGCATGCCTGGTGAAATCAGATTCCTCGGATGATTTTGATTGCATGTGCAAAGGCTTTATTCTACTGTTATTTAACTTATTTATGTTATTTCTACACGTATATAAGCCATTGTCCTCTCTCATAGGACATTATATACAGATGCATATACTTTTTGCTGTTATATATACACAGACATGCATTAATTAATACTACAATTTATCTAACAAGTAACAACACAACAAAAATAGAAAGGAAAAAAAAAAAAAAAAAATTCTAGCAGACTATATTGAGCTGATGTTTATATTAGTATAAGAAGAATTGGAGAGGAAGCTAACAGATCATATTAATTGGCCCTACACTCCTCTAGTCCTCTGCAACACAAACAAAATCAACCACAATTGTATGGTTCAGATCAATTATTTATGTGGACCAATTTAGTTGAAGAAAACTAGAGGTGAGTGAGGTCCATTCAAATTTATGAACCTCGCCAAGAAGTAAATTATTTTTGAAATTAAACACATTCAATTCTTCTCTTTATTTATAGAAAACTCAAAATATACATGAATGCAAGCCCAAACTCAAAACAAAAGAAACGAAATTTCAAATTGGTAGCCGTTGGCAGATGACCAATGTTCTGCTGAAGAAATTCCAAGCAGAGCATCAACCATCTAAAGGTTTATATTGACAGCAAAACAAATTTAATTTCCCTCTAACTGAATCTAGAATTGTTCTGAGTGAAGTTTAGCAGAGGATTATCCAGCTTTGAAGAAAAAGCACCGTTAACATAATACACACACACACACACACACACACATATATATATATTTTATTTTGATGCTATATAAACATACCCGGATTTAAGTAGTTCAATGTTCAGTGGTTATTCAAATCCAATAACCATTTATTGTGGACCTTAAACACACTCTTTTATCCACCACATTTCTTAAAAATGTGAAAGGAAAAGAATGTGTTGATAACTAAACATCTGATTATGACAAGCCTTGCATATATACTACAAATATTGCAACTATTTTTCATTCAATTTGTCATACATAAATTAGTGGAGTTTCTATTGGCCCAAGGTGTGTGTTCAAAAGGGAGAAAAAGAAAAGCAGCAGCACCTAGGAAAGATGTTTATGCATTTCTTCGTCATAATAAACTCTTCTTGTACTTCTCCATCATTGTAGTCTGCTTAAGCAATGATGCAACCGCCACCACCACGACGATTGCCATCACAACCTCGTAGGTTGGTCACTAAACTCATTCACAGTGATTCGATTCACTCACCATATTATAACCCTGGTGCCACCACCTTGGATCGTGCTAGGTGGGCTATAGAAAGCTCACTAGCACGCATTGCTTACCTAAAGGCAAGGATAGAAAGCGGATTAAACACCACTAATGATGTCCGAGGTGGTGTTATCCCAATTGATATTGGCATAGAATTCCTTCTAAACTTTTCTATTGGAGAGCCACCAGTTCCACAACTAGCAATAATGGACACCGGCAGCATCCTGACATGGGTTCAATGCCTCCCATGTACCATTTGTTTCAACCAGTTACACCCCATTTTTGATCCTTCAAAGTCATCCACGTATGTAGACATACCGTGCAAATCTCCTACTTGTAATCACCTCAAGTTTCATAGTCAAGTAGAATTTCGATGTGATAGTTTCTATCGTTGCGGTTATAGCCTGCAATACATGGACAAAAGTACAACAGCAGGAAATGTTGCCTTTGAAAAGCTTACATTCATGACATCTGATGAAGGCACAGTAAGTGTCCCCAGCATGGTGTTTGGCTGTGGACACAATATTAATGACTTCTTAGCCAGCAAAATAACTGGAGTTATGGGACTTGCCTATCATAGTACATCTTCGCCTTTTCAACTGGGCTCTAAATTTTCTTATTGCATTAGCAATATAAACGATCCTTACTATAATCATAACCGGTTAATCATTGGGGATGGAGCATATATTGAAGGCTATTCAACACCAATTGCAGTGCATGACAACCTATACCATTTGACCTTGGAAGGCATAAGCATGGGAGAGAAAAGGCTTGACATCAATAGAGATCTATTCGGCAAAGATAGGGTTGTGATGGACTCGGGTACAACGGATACTCTTCTAACAAGGAGTGGGTTCGAGCCACTTAAAGCCGAGGTGCAATCCTTGATATGTGGATTGCTGACACAGGAGGTTGATAGCAAGAACCCCGGGTACCTAAGTTACAGGGGGGTTGTGGATGAAGAGCTTAAAGGATTCCCAGTGGTGACATTTCACTTGGCTGGAGGGGCGGACTTAGTGCTAGACATAGACAACATGTTCCGACAGACTGACTTAGTGCTAGACATAGACAACATGTTCCAACATGGCCATGGTTGAAAGTCGATTACCCAATCAGTTGAGCATACTTGGGATTATTGCTCAACAGAATTACAACATTGGTTACGACCTAAACAAAATGAAACTCTATTTCCAGAGAATTGATTGTGAACTTCTTGAGGATTGATCACAACTCTTACAAATATATATTTGTCTTGAGGACAATAAAATTAGTGTGTTTAGTGAGTTTTATGTGTATTCATGTATAAGTTGCTCTAGAACTATAAATTATTTATGTAGGGCTCAAAAATATATATATTAAGATTGTGTCCGTTTTTTATTTTAAACTAACACTTTAACAATAAGGACATTGTCATTCTACAATAACTAAACAATAATAATTTAAAATTTTATGTTAATTTCACATTGAAGGAGTTCCTCCCACCACTCTGGAATTTTATTTTTTTTTTGGAATAGTTCAATAGATAAAACTATGTAAATTTAACAAGCAATTTATTAAGCACATAGAAAGAACCTCATGGTTTAGAAATCTTACACTGAAATGATTGAACAAGGCCCTGATGCAGGCTTGAAATATCAATCCACCGGAATTCGATGGCCTTCACAATCCAAATGCGGAAGAAAATTCACAAATATCTATCTATGATGATGAATCAGGGAAAGTTAAGTTTTGAGAAAGAGAAGAATAAAATGAGAGTTATAATTTACTATCATGCCTTAATGTTAAGATGGAATCCAAATCAAGGGTGAATCTAGAGGTGGGCTTTGGTGGGCTTAAGCCCACCCAAAAGAAAAAATACTTATTAATATAGGCAATTTTAGCACAGCCCAAAAAAAATAAAAAATTTATCACTAGTATTACCCCACCCAAATATTAGTCTATCCAAACAAGCTCAAGTCAGCTAAATTTATGTTCAATATTAGCTTACCCCATTGATAATTTCTGGATCCACCCTTATCCAAATGCCTTATAAAGTTTGTGATGTCTGTATATATTAGTGTGTGTGGTGTAATTTAAATGAAAAAGAAAAAGAGAAAAGAAAAGTTAATGAGTGGGACCCACAAGCATTTAAATGGTCATGAGACCATCCTTGCTTTCATTTTTTTTTTTTCTCATTCCCGTAAGGTTATCTCTCTTGTCCAGAACTCCTTCTTTTTTTTTTTTTTTTTTTTATCTTTTTTGGTTCCAATCTTCAAGCTTTGATTCCATCTTCATTACTTGCCGGATTTAGGTGCCGTTTGAGGCAAAACGACGAGTGTGACGAGCTCTACGTTTTAGTACCAGCAATTCCAGTTTTGCTACCTTCCTTGGAGCTCAAAAATTTAAACCCATTTCTAGGGTTTTGCCTATTTTGAGGTAGGGACATCTTAATCCACTCTAGTCTTGTTCTATTGTGAATTTTACCTCCATGTTGTATTAAATATGCTTAATTTAGAGTTAATTATATCTATGATGGTATTAATGATGTCTAGAGGGTTTTCACGATCTTGAATATGGTTGGTTCATGTGCAAATTATATTTAGTTGTTGATTTCCTATGTTTACTATGTGCTAGCATGCTGAAATTGATGTATGAGAGTATGTTTATTTAAATTGCGCCAAATTTCCCAATTCATGATGTTGAGCTCATATATATATATATACATGCACATGCTTAAATGTATTTTGTTGTATCTTAATGTGTTAATAATTACTTGGGAGATGTTGAACATGTTGAATGTTTAATTTTATGATAGAAAATTTTAAATGCCATGACATTGAATGTATGGAACATATATACATGCACATACCATTGAGTTTGCATGAAATGGGAGAAATTGTTCTTGAAATAAAAATGGGGAATTTCAGGGAAGTGTTTTTGATAAAATGGTTTTATGCGAAACCCGATCGCTGCGGGGTTACCAACGGGCCGGAGGTTAATATAGCCTAAAAGGGACTAGGGAGTCGCCCTAGCGTGGTTGAGCTAGCTGGGCCCCATAATGACGCCGCGGGGTTACCAAGGGTCAGGGACACTAGCCAATCCTCCTTTCGTGTCGCGGCGGGGTTACCAAAGGGCGGGCTGTATTAACGTTTGAAAGTGATGATTTTGAGAATGAAAATAGGGAGTGTCATTGACATGCATTGCATGTCATTTCATTGTATTGCATTGTTTATACTTGGAATTGACTTGTATGTTGTATTTGATCCCCTACGTTGTATGATCCCTAT